GATTTTACCAGGCCTTTGAGGTCCCCCAGGCTCCAGCACCTGCCTGCTTCTCCAATTTATTGGCACTTCCCACTTGATGACCCTGCCGTCTGCTGCCTTACTTTTGGTCCTTCCAAACACCGAGGTCTTCTTCTACATCAAGATCTTTTATTTGCTGTTCTCTCTACTTGGAATTTTCTTACTCCAGATCTGAAAATCCAGACTCTTCCTCATCCCGCAGGTCCCAATTCATATGTTCTTTCTTCTGTGACCACCATCTCCCTCACTCCCACTGCCCTCCTTAGTTCCCCCAACACACCTGTCTCTCTCTGAAATTTTCTCCTTTCTTTCTTCAGTTAGTTGTTTTTTTTCCAATATCTTCCCCCACATGCCACTTCTCGGAGTAAGTTCCTTAAGGACAGGGAGAAGGACCATGTCTGTCTCATCTGCTATTGGGTTTTCAGTGCTTAGAGGAATACCTGGTACATGGAAGATGCTCAGTAAGTATTTGTTGATGGGGCGCCTGGGGGGCTCAGTCAGTTAGTTAAGTGTCTGCCTTCGGCTCAGGTCTTGGTTCCGGAGTCCTGGGATCGAGTCCTGCATTGGGCTCCCTGCTTAGCGGGAAGCCTGCTTCTCCCTTTCTCTTTGCTGCTTCCCGTGTGTGCTCTCTCTCTGTCAAATAAATAAATAAAATCTTAAATAAATATTTGTTGAATGATAGAAGGAATGAATTAATGAAATGCTGACAGAGTATCAGTTCAGATAGAGGTTGTCTTCAGTCACAAGACGGTGAAGGTCTCTGTGGCTGAAAAGTGAGAATTTGTGGCAAGAGTATAGATTTGAAAAATAGCAGTTTTAATAGCATTTTAAAATTATTAATTTACTAATGTATTAATTTAAGTTATTAATTAAAATAGCATTTTTAAAGTACTCCCTACTCTTACTGCTATTATTTTAAAACATTCTGGCTTAAATTGTAGTTTGTGAAGTTGTGGCCTTCACGGTGAATATGTGGCCTCCCTTCCTTCTCTTTCTCTCCTACCAAATGAATGAACAAACAAACAAAAGCCAGTGCTGGCGATGGGCTCTCTGGGCTCCCACAACATTCTGTACATATCTTTATCATATCTCAATGTTTTTACTATTTATTATCCTATTTGCCTTATGAGAATATAAACTCCCTGAGAGCAGGAATTACATTTTTTATCCCTGCATCTCTAGTATTGTGTTTGTTGATTGAATAAAGTGGATATTAAAATTTGTTCTAGTTCCTGAGCAGCATGGCCAAAACACAATGATTTAGCAATTATTTCTGAAGGAAAAATTATGATCTAGTGTTTACAGATATCTGAGATAATCTAAAAATATAGTTTATTCAAAGATGATCATAGAAAAATGTCTTTCATAAATGGAGAGGAGAGGAATATATGGAAGGTCTGGGGTGGATGAAATTTTATATACATATATATAAAGTATATATATGAAAAATACATAATTATGTGTGTGTGTATATATGTGTATACACACACACACACACACACACACACACATATATGAGTGAGTAATTTACTACTCTAACTACAGTTTTATAAAATTTGATAGCATAGCAAGGTAAAACATTTTCCTGTCTCGTTGCCTAGGTTAATTAGCCTGTATTTTTTTCAGTATGGGAGGATTGCAAAACTGAATTATATTGCTTGAAAGAATGTCTGCAGTTGAAATGCTGGCACAGCCAGAACTACTGTGGTTAATGTATTTGTTACTTGACTTTCCTGAGAGCAAAGATGGAGTGTGTGTGTGTGTGTGTGTGTGTGTGTGTACCGTGATGGATTTTAAAATTCAACTTAATAAATGTATTGAGAGCCTACTGTAGTATTCTAGGCACTGCCTTCAGTGCCAGTAAGTCACAATGAATGAGATACATCCATCCCTGTTAGGAATGTCATGGTCCAACCAAAAGACACATTCCCCCCCAAAATTATTAAAAATGTTAAGTATGCATAAAGGATCAGAGACACCCAGATGATGAATGAATTGATTCCACTGTGTGCTGCATGCATCTTTACAGGCGAGGGCACTGGGAGGGAAGGGGAAGAAGTGGCATTTGAACTAGGCCATGGGATACAGCAGAGATTTGCACACTGTTGGTAGCTGTGTTGAACATTTTATTTTGAAACTTCCCTCCTTTGGTTGTAAATGGAGATTCGATATTTTTTATTCCTTTTTATCATTTTAATATTGGTAGGACTTGGTTTGTCATAATCTTAGGAAGTCTGAAGTTGGGTGATAATGGTAGTAAGCAGCGCTCAAAAGACTTGCTTATATGCTGGTTTTGAGGAGGTGAATTTTAGAAATGAGGAAGAGAATTCTTGGGATGGGGAGATGGAATGAGTAGACAAGGATTCACTCAGGGAGGGGCTTAGGGTAGGAAGCATCAGATAGTGGGCAGCCCCGTGGTCATAATGAGAAGGAAAGGCATGGTCAAGGGGACATTATATGTGCGTGTCTCTTTGTGTCTGTGCAGAGGTGCAGCATGCATTTGCTTGGGTTGTCCTGAGCCCTGGAAATAAACCTAATATTTGTGCGTTTTTTTATACCTGTTACGTCATTGAGTCTTCCCCAGAACCGTGGAAGTAAGTGCCCTTATCACCACTTTGCAGATGAGGAAACAGATGCCCAGAGAAGTTGCACACAGAGTGAGAGGGCAGAGGTGGGCCTCACACTGCTGCTTGCTGGCTGGAAAACACAGGATTTTCTCACACCACCGCAGCCGTTTCGGGGGTGCTGAGTCCTAGAATGAGAAGGGCAGGATGGCAGGAAACTGGGAGGAAAGATGACCAAGTGAGGCACCCTCTTGGGACAGAATGGGATTGAGAGAAGCTGCTCAGTGTGACCCATTTCCATTCCGTCTCGTCTTTCGATCATTTCCTACTTTGTAGGTAACATTTCCCAAGTTAGGAATTTGGGGCTCCAGGAGCAATGCCAACTCTTGTTTGAAGACCAGACCTTCTGGTGATTAAGATCTTATGTCCAGGTGGCAGAAATCACGAGTGTAAAACTCCTTTGCTCACAAACCTTTGTAATTACAAGTGAAGTGATCCAGCAGAGAGAACACGAGCCAGCCTGGCCTGCCCCAGGTGGGGGTATAAGCCGCTGCCAGAATAATGTCCCGTCAGGCTCAGCCACAGTGGGCTAAAGGAACGGCTTCTCAGAGGACCCTCTGGATATGCATGTTAGAAGCCGTAACACAGTCATGTGCGACAGCTCAGCGTGTGCATCTCCTGTTTGGGATTGAGCCACACACGGGGCGAGGAACTCCAGAAGCAACAAGGAGTCCTAGTATCAGAAGTGGACAGCCTGGGAAACCTACAAAGGAAAGGAAGGCATAAACCCTGCCTCCAGCCAGGAAGGAATTTGCAGAAGAAGCCACCCCGCGTTTGTTTTGGGGGGATTTTTTTTAAGTGCAAAGAGAAGATGTGTGAGTTTGTGGTCTAGAGGTAGCTTTTTCATTGGGTATAGCTGGACACAGGAGTCCAAATCATTCTGTCCAGGCTTCTGTCCTCCCTTCGATTCGGCTCTGTGGGGTGGCGCTGTCAGGGAGCCTGGCTGCTTCCCTATGCAGGCTGAGAGGGCCGCACACGGTTCTAGGCTTACACTGGCCTTATCGTTACATTCAGAGAGGGCTCGTGAGGCCTGGTTGGGACAGGCCACTCTTCAGTCCAACGTAAATAAAATATGTTTGATGAAATGCAATGTGAGTTGTGCTGGCTGCCGCATCTTTTCCAAGTACAAATGTTCTGCACGTGTGTGGCTTTAGCACCCTGACAACTCCGCGAACATTGCTTCCCCTACTCACAGACGTGACCATGGCTTAGCGTACTTTTAATATGTGGCATCTTTCTTCTCAGTTTTCCAGTAAGAAGCCTTTGGCTCACCATTAGTTTGTTTTTTAGTGGTTTTTTTTTTTTTTTTAAGATTTTATTTATTTATTTGACAGAGATCACAAGTAGGCAGAGAGGGAGGCAGGGAGAGAGGGGGAAGTAGGCCCTCCGCTGAGCAGAGAGCCCTTTGCAGGGCTCAATCCCAAGACCCTGGGATCATGACCTGAGCCAAAGGCAGAGGCTTTGATGCACTGATGAACCCACTCAGCCACCCAGGTGCTCCTCACCGTTAGTTTTAAGTGTCTCTAACTTCATGTCATAGGTTTCTAAACAGGGTACTAGAAACGTCTGTAAGGTTTGCCACAGTTCTGGAATCCCCAGGTATGGTTGATTTTGTTGGAAGTACAGTCTGCTGGAACTTGCAAGATTCAGAATTTCTCCCAACTTACAGCCACCTGTGTCTCTCTATAAGGTTTGATGGTTATTATGGACGTGTGCATGTACAAACAGATGCACAAAAAGGCACAAATATGCATGTCTTATTTATGTGTTGTTATCAATAATGTAATAATCCCTAAGGGACGAAACACTGCAATAAGACGAAATCAGAGAGGGAGACAAACCATAAGACTCTTCTGACTATAAGAAATAAACTAAGGGCTGCTGGAGGGGAGGGTGAGTAGGGAGATGGGGTAACTGGATGATGGGCATTAAGGAGGGCACGTGATGTAATGAGCCCTGGGTGTCATATGCAACTGATGAATCACTGATCTCTATATCTGAAACTAATAATACACTCTGTGTTAATTAATAGAATTTAATAAATAAAAAATTAATAAAATAAAACTAAATAAAATAAAATTTTTTTTAAAAACCTGTAGTAATCCCTGAGATGGATGGAGGGAGATCGTTTTTTAAATTAAAACTTTATGATTCAGGTTGGCAAGAATCCTGTGTATTTGCCTGTATCCGAATGCTAGAGTCTGTCTACCGCTTGGGCACAGTGAAATTGTCTACACGAGTATAGTGAATCCAGGGAGCTTTTTGGTAGTTTTCTTCTGAAACTAGACATGATTATGGGTTAATGACTGGTGCTATCTTGTGTTGCTTCATGTTTGTCATTCATTTCTCTTACTCTAGGCACTTGAAGAGGCTCAGAAAGCTATTCAGCAACTCTTCGGCAAAATCAAAGATATCAAAGACAAAGCAGAAAAATCAGAGCAAATGGTGAGTTTCGTTTTCTTCCAAACTTTCTTGCACTCGAAGAGAAAGTTCAGTTCTTGTCCAGTCATTCTGATTACTGGACTTTTTCTCCCACTCACTGCCAGCCACAGCACCCACATCTCTGAATCAAGGCCTGGGAATACCTTCCAGATCGATTCAAGAGGAGCTGCTAGACATACGGTGACTCACCCTCCCAGCTGCCCTGCAGTTGCAGCCCTATTTTTAAATGGGAAAAGTTTTCTTCTTCTCTCCCCAAAATAGTTTTCTAGTCATTTCAGGTTCCTTTCGCTGGCATTTTTATATGTTGTATATTTCTCAGTTGAGATACACGATTTGCAACATGGTGTAGCATGAAAACTGCTACTGGATCTGGGGGGGGGGGTGCGTCTCCTGCCACAATAAGTGCTTATGGTTTTGATTAAGTTCTCCCTTGACAAATTTGTGTTCCCTGGTGATGTACACAGGAGGCCTATCTGCTCATTGGGAATCCAGCCTCCCCCACTCCTGCTCCGTGAAGGGACACCATAAAATGTTAGCTCCTGCACTCGCATTCTGACCACGTAGTGTCGTATCTCTGAATTGTGTCTGAATTCCAGTTTCTTCAGCTGCAAAATACGATAACACCTGCCTTAAATGACTGTTGGAAAATTAAATGTATGAAGGGCACTGAGCATAGTACTAGGCTTGTGACTGAAGTCATTGCTAATGTCATTTCCCCCCCTCACTTCTTTTGGTTACAGAAATTCCCGAATCCTTACAGTCTTCTTGCCCTACATCCTCTTCTAATTTATTACTACAGGAACAGGACTGCTGTCACCTTTCTGTGTATCCTGCAGCTCTCTTTCAGTGGCCGTTTGGCAAGATAGGGAAGGATATGGAGTGGGAGGGGGACGGGCAGCTTGACAGAGTAGTGCAGCGCACAACCTCTGAAGGCAGGCTACCTGCGTTGGGATCTAGCCCCTCTACTTACAAACCGTGGCAAGTCATTGAACCCGTCTGTGCCTTGGTTTCATCACTGTAAAATGGAGGTAATAGTCCTGGGTACATTCCAGGATTGTGGAGATTAAATGAGATCACGTGTGACACCCACAGCCCCTGAGTGAGAATCGGTTGTTGCTGTTCTTACTGTCAGCTCTTCTGTTCCTCCTCCCAGGCAGGCAGTGTTACGGGCCTTAACTACCAAAGGAGGGGTCAGAGGAACAGAACCCTTTCATCAGAAGGAAAGTATGAATATTTGTGCTTTGTCGCAGAATTCAGTAGGCTTTGAGAGGCAGCTGTCTGTCATCTGAGAGGGATTCAGATTTGTGGTTCTTTCCCCAAGGATGTACTGCCTCAGCGCCATCCACTGTTCACTGAAGAGCGAGAGTTAGTAGATGTTTTATTTTCCAGCAGTTTGCTCTCCTGGCTCGTGCTTTGCTAGAGGGAGGAAGAGGAGGGACTGGAGAGAGAATGGATGTTCGTTGAGCTCCTTCAGGGTGCCAGCTACTGTCATAGATATCCTTTGATACAAGTAATTTAATTTAGCTTTCACAACAACTTAATCAACTAGGTTTTATTATCATTATTATTTTTATGATTACCCATTTTTTTTTAAAGATTTTATATATTGGGGCGCCTGGATGGCTTAGTTGGTTAAGCGTCTGCCTTGGGCTTAGGTCTGGATCCCAGGGCCCTGGCCCCCGAGGCAAATGCGTAACTGAATGAGACACCGAGGTGCCCCTGTGATTACCCATCTTACAGGTGAGGAAACAGACTCAGTGAGGCTAAGGAGCTTATTCTAGGACACAGAGTTGGTGAGTGGAAGAGCTGAGATTCAACCCTAGAGCTGCCTAACTCCAAAAGCTACCATAGCATGTTTTGTCCTTTTTTGGCTGCCCCTGGCTACAGTTCAGGCACATTAACTCCGGATATAATGATCCCTGTGACTTTGACCTGAGCATCCTTTGCATGAGCTCCGTTTGTTTAGGAAAGACAGGATATGTGATGGGGAGAGACAGAAGGTACTGGGAATGGAGAAACCAGTCACTTCTGGTGCAGAGCTCCAGGGAGGGCCTGAAGGATGAGTAGACAGGGACAGTTTTTGTGATGAGGTACAGAAAGAATATTGAGGATTTAGTGGCTGAATAATGATCTGGGAATGAGAAGAGTCACAGATGACTGTGATTCTTAATGCAATAGAGACTTCTGAGGAAGCTAAGAAGAGGTACAGGGATTTTTCTGTAGAAAAGTGGGTGATGAGTCAGTGTTGGAAGTGGGTTATCAGATCCTAGGACCAAACTCCAATACTGGTTCACTGTACCACTCCTGATCTTGTTTTTCCCTAAGCTCAGTTATTCCGTGAAGAAGTTCTCAGCCTATTCCCACACCCCTGCTCCTACCCCCAGGGAACAGAGGTAGAGATACTTTGATGGCCTGAGAGTAACAGGGAGAGGGGGCTTGATGGGGAAGTCCCTGTGAGAGAGACTTTTACTGCCATGATCCAGGTCAGCTTAGCAGGTTTGTGGGTATGGAACAAAGCTGTAAGGGTCATCATCTTTACTTTATGGGTTCACCCAGGGTGATCAAACTCTGAAAAATCGGATCATGTGAACCTAACTCCCCACGTTTTTCACTTTTAATGAGAGCTGGGTCTTTCCAGGGACTAGAATATTTGTGTCTAGTGTCCAGGGCACTCCCCTTCCTTCTAGGTATCAAAGAACCTGGGAAACCAAATTGCTTTTCAGGAAGTTTCTTGGTCAACATGAGCTCAGGCAGTTTAGTGGGACATTCTGCCTAGATGTTAGTAAAGTTGGAGAATTGTTCCCACTTTATTACCGAATGTGCTTTTCTAGTGACTGAAATATACTTGTTTTCCAGGTAGAGTTTATTTCTCTTGGATCTACTGGGTCAACAGTGTCTGAATTTTACTTCCCCAGTTACCTTCTTGCTCCTGAAGACTTCACAGTACATGTTAGGCATATGTTACATTATTTTAGTCTTCTTGAGATTTAAGATCAAGTCTTTTCTTTGCTGGGGATCGGGGAGTAAACCTTGGTTTCATGAATAAAGATCGTTTCAACAGAATTAGCTGCCTAATACTATCCATTCTGTATCGAACCTGGTAGCCCTCCTGTCAGAAGGCATACTTTCCTGACCTTGTTCCAGAGGAGACGTGCCAAACTTGGCTCCTGGACCCTGTAAGCTCCATACTAAATTGCCATTTGGATTGCTCCCTTTGGGGTGAAAAACAAAGTTCATTTAGTTCTTACAATTGAGGATTTTGTACCTCTGTATAAAAAGTCTTCTGAAGAAATGCCAGATGAGATTTAAATGGACTGATTGGAAGGTATTTCGATTTTAAATGATGAGAATATCTGTGTTTTCTCCAGGGGCTGACCTCAGGTTTTTTTGTTTTTTGTTTTTCCTTGCATCATTTGCCTTATTTTCTTGTGGAGCTGCTTGCAAATGGATTTCCATGTTTCTAAACCTTCTTCCTTTTTCTCCTGTGGTTTCTCACTCCGTAGGTTAAAGAAATCACCCGTGATATTAAACAGCTAGATCATGCCAAACGCCACCTGACCACGTCGATCACCACGCTGAACCATCTGCACATGTTAGCAGGTGGCGTGGATTCCCTCGAGTAAGCAGCGTCCACTTTTTCTTTGAGGAAATGAACGTGCCACGTAAAGAAAATGGCATCATAGGTATTTTACTCAGCCAGGGAAGGCTCACTCTCCTGCCCCGTTCCTGCAAATTGGTCTCAAGTGTTTAGTCACCATTTGGCTTTGTGCCCTCTGGTGTTTAAAACGTCACAAACACCTGAAAGTTTGAAGTGAGTTGCAAGTGAGTGTGGAAGGGACCCAGACAACATGTAGAGGATGATTCCAAGAATACGGCTTGTTTAAATGTGGTGGATCTCTACCATTAAGGCCGGCAGGGTCATTCAGGACCATACTCTGTCCCTATAGCCCCTGCCTTGGCAAGTTTTCCTACTTGTGTTGGGCTCAGTTGCAGTGCTGTTGGATGTTCTGTATAGAAACAAGGATTTAAAAAAGAAAGGAAGCAAGAAAGAGAGAGAAAGTGAGAGAGAGAGAAAAAGAAAGTCTTGATTTATCATTCATCCCATTTTTTTTTTCAACCCACTTTTTCAAAGACGGTTGCATCCTGTTTGGTTTATAGAGGAGCTGTAGGGAATGATGCCTGAGGACATTAGAAGTAGTATTCAAAGGAGGCACTGGTTATTTACCATAAGAGGCAATCCAAAGGCCTCTTTTACCAGCAAGATTCTTATGTGGCTGGGAATTTGCCCTGCCCCAGCTTCAGTAGTGTCTCATGTGCAGACAGAGAAAGAACATCTTCACAGAAATTTAGATGCAGAGTCTGAAGCTGGGAAGTAGACAGGGTCAGACTCCTTCCTGGTCTCTCCAGGAAGGTTATGAGCTCCAGCAAACCCTAGTCTATTCTCCTGTGAGTAGTGATCAGAGATATGAGCCAGCCAGCGGTAGACTAGAAGAGCAGTTTTCTTGTCCCTTGCTCCAGATGCTCCAGATGTCTTTTCCCACCAGACTATCCGACCAGGCTGCAGTAGCACCATAACACCAAGTTGGTTTGAACTCGATCCTGTCTTTTTAAATGCCTCCTTTTTTTTTTTTAAACGTTTCTTAAGGGAGGTTGTATATTAAACATTTAATTTAAAACCCCAACCCTAATAAAAAATTTAGATCTACAAATTTGACCTTCCCAGTGCTTTTATTAGCATCCTTTTATTTAAGCTTTATTAACCATAGGGAAAGTAGACATGTCTGGGAGAGTTGCTTAGCATTGGCTTTACACCCTACAGCTTTGAGTTAACATATAAATGCCTAAAAATGTCCTTTGTTGTATCTTGGGAAGATGTGTTTGGTTTGTCCATATGCTGTAATCCTTAGATAGTAACATTCCTATCCCTCTTTTCTCTCAAAAGTCTGCTAATCCCGTAATACCCAACCCAAATCCACAGTCTTCCCAGATTCTGTGTCCCCACCCAATGAGAATCCATCACCCACACATTCTTTTGTACCTCCCATAGCACATAATGTGTATTTCTGTTGAGAACTCAGTTTATCCCACTCATGTACCTGGCTGTGTCTCTCTTACTAAGTGATACCACTTTGAGGCGTTTGATTAGTTCTTTTTTTTTTCCCCACCTCCATGTGCAAGACCGTATACAGTTAGTGCTCAGTAAATGGTTACCACATCAAGTTGATGTCTGTTTTGGAGCTCAGAGTAGGTTGTTCCATATCTGTATCTTGTGTCCTTTGTGTGTTTCTAGATTCCCAACTTCTTATTCCGTTGCAGAGCTATGACCAGGCGAAGACAATATGGAGAAGTTGCTAACCTTCTTCAGGGTGTGATGAATGTTCTGGAGCACTTCCACAAGTATATGGGAATTCCACAGATCCGGCAGCTTTCCGAAAGGTAAAATGTTGCTGGAGAAGACAGTCTTCTGCTTTAGAGGAAGATGGCGCTGGGATGTGCTTCAGCACCTAGCTCAGTATGTTCACTGTAGCATCTTCTTGTAAGAGGGACCCTCAGATGTCATCTCATGTAACTTGGTGGGATATAGATGTCTACACCCCTTTCCCACTCCTTACTGTGTCTTCTAAAGCAATCTCTCTTAGACTGTTGCTGGCCTGGCATCATTGGAGGGGCAGCTGGCGAATTATGTAGGTGGACATCCACATTTGTGAGGAAAATTGTTCCAGTTGTCTCTTTCCTTATAACAAACTACCACCACACTTAGTGGCTCACAACGACAGGTATTTCACTCGTGTAATTTAACCTTCCTCCCCAGGAATGTCTCTCACTTCCGCTCCATGCAGCATCAGCTGGGGGCGGTCAGGAGGGGGCCTGAGGGATCCAGGGATCACTCTTGTGACTGGCCAGTTGGTGCTTGTTGTCCGCTGGGAGCTCGGCTGGGTTGTCTTCCATGGGCTGCTTGGTCTTCCTCACGGTTAGGTGGCTGGGTCCCAAGAATGGGCCTCCCAAGAGAACTAGGCCTTGGAAGTCACTGTGGGAGGGAGTCACAAGGCAGCCAGGATTAGAGGAAGGAACATAGTCTCCCCCAGCCCCTCACTCGGAGGAACAGCAAAGTCTCATTGACAAAAAGAGCACATGGGACGGGCTGTACTGCTGTGGCAATTTTTGGAAAGTCTCATTTGCCACTAGAACTTCAGATGTGACAAAATGATGACTTCGCCTCTTCTTTTCTTCCTACCTCTGGGGAGTTTCAGTCCCAGATTCAGAGCCAGTAGGAAGGAGACCTGATACTTAGAAGGAAGGTGAAGATTCTAAAGGAGAATAAGAGAGGAGTGAATTGAGTGTGTTTTCTATTAGAAATAGCCGTGGCGAGAATACTGAGGAGGCAGAGATGGTCACAATTGACGAATCCTAACCTTTCTTGAACAAAGAAGAGGCAAAGGGGCTGGGCCCTTGACAGCAGCCAGCATTCTCATTTCTGTCTTCTTAATCAGGCCTGATTGCCACAGGCCTCTTTTTCCTTAAGTTTCTATATTTTTAATCATGTAAGTAATTATGTAATATAGGTATGCATTTTCTTTATTTTAAAAAAAGCCAAATAAATATACAGATGGAACTGAAGTCCCCTTTAGCTTTCCCTGAGATCCTAGTGCTGCCTGTACAGGCAGTGACAATAGTGACTATTATCAAGTGAATGTGGATTCCTCTTGATTTTTATCTGTGCATTTACAGAAATCTGTAGTTTCAGTTTGTGGGTTTGGGCTGTTTGGTTTTAATAAATGGTTTCACACCATATGCTTCATTCTGAAACTTACTTTTTGGTTTTACCCTCACGATGTATTTTAGAGATTTTCCACACTGATATACAAACCTACCTTGTTCTTTTTATTCTTTTAAATTTATTTTATTTTTTAAAGATTTTATTTTTGCGAGAGAAAGAACGAGCGCATGCACGTGAGAGAGAACACAAATAGAGGGGAGAGACAGAGGGAGAAGCAGACTCCCCACTGAGCAGGGAACTCGACATGGGACTCGATCCCAAGATCCTGGAATCATGACCTGAGCCAAAGGCAGATGCTTAACCAACTGAGCAACCCAGGCGCCCATACCTCGTTCTTTATAATTGATGCCTGGAATTCTGTAGTATCACATACCACAGATTATTTAATAATTTTCCTATCACTAGGTTGTTTGCTTCTAATCTTTAAAAGTGATCCCTTTTTGCACATCGATAAATATTTCCCTAGGAAAGATTATGTCATGGGTAAAGTCCAATTAAAATTTTAATAACCACTGCACATTTGCCTTCCCAAGAGGCCTTATCTATTTTATAGTACCATCTGCAGAGTATGTGAGTGCCACTCCCCGTACCTTCAAGAAAGCTTTGTATTGTCAGTTTTCCTGTTTTATTCAACTGGTGGATGAAAAATAGCATCGCGTTCCTTTCATTTCCTTTTCCCTGGTGACTACTGACACTAGTTCTCTTTTGATAATTGGCCTTTTGTGTTTCCTCTGAAATGCCTGTTACCCCTTGCCTTTTTGTCTGTTGAGTTATTTATTCCTTTCTTATTGTTTCTATATATTCTGGACATTGATACTTTGTCAGAGCTGGTAGATCTTGCCTGTAGAACCATGTGGGTGTGTTACTCTCTTAAAGGTAGATCTTTGACTCTCACTGTGATTTCTTCCATGGTTATTAATTGGTCTATTCAGGTTTCTTATTTCTTTTTTTTCTTTTGTTTAAATCATGTTAATATATACATAAAACATACCATGTTAATAATTTTCAAGTGTGCAACTCAACGGTGTTAATTATATTCACAGTATTATATAACCATCACCACTTCTATTTCTAAAACTTTTTCATTACCCCAAACAGAAACTCTTATCCATTAAAGAGTAACGCCCATTATCTCCTTTCCCATCTCTGGCAACCTGTGTTCTATTTTATTTCTCTGAGTTGCCTAGTGTAAGTACCTCATATAAATGGAATCAAACAATATTTGTTCTTTTGTGTCTGGCTTATTTTACTTAGTACAATGTTTCAGGGTTTATCCACGTTGTAGAATGTCTCCGAATTTCATACCTTTTTAAGGCTGAATATTTCATTGTATATATACACTACATTTTGTTCATCCATTCATCTGTGGGTGGACACACAGATTGCTTCTACCCATTAGCTGTTGTATGATAGACTGGACGAATCTTTGGTCTGGCATTTCTTGTTGCCTGTTAAAAATCTGGTCTGTCTTATTCTTAACTCCTTAATAAGGTAATCTATTTTCATTTGATTTTTTTATTTTGTTCTGGAAGCCTTTGAGATTAGGGAGAGGGACTGGTCAGGAATTTTACTAGGATATAAGTCTCTTATCCTTCATGTTGCTCTGTACTTACCATATCTTCAGTCTGAAGACTCATGAGTTTCTTAAGTTCTGAGGAATCACTTTCTTCTGTTTCTTTGAGTAGTTTCTGTGCTTTGTTCTCTGTGCTTTCTCTTTGTGGAATTTCTATTATGTGAATATTGGAACTTCTAAGTCTGTCTTTCTTTCTTTCTTTAGGAAGGACGAGGGGGTGATACAGAGGGAGAGGGCAAGAGAGAATCTGAAGCAGGCTCCATGCCCAGTGCAAAGCCCAGCACAGGGCATGATCCCACAACTTTGACTGAGATCATGACCCCAGCCAAAATCAGGAGTCAGCCATGCAACCAACTGAGCCACCCAGGCGCCCCAGATTATATGTATTTTAAAGCTCTGATTTGCCTGTTCTGTTTCTTTGTCCTCTGATAGAAGGTTTTCGGTTTGTTGAGCATGGCGACTCTTTCTTGGCATTGGCATTCCTCCAGTGTTTGGTGATTTCTAACTGAAAGTTCATTTTTGGCTTTGAGATTCTCTGTCATCCTGATCAGGGTTGCTCTTCTATTGCCACCTGCTAAGCGGGGGGTGGAACGTGTTGCTCAGCTAAGAGCCATAGATAGCTCTTCTTAGGTGAGATGGGTCTGGACCTGGAGGAGGTGCCACGTGGATATGCCAGTGGCTGATCTGCTGGGCTTGGGGGCTCCCTGATCAGCCTGGATATTGGCAGCCCTCTGGCCACTATGGAGGTTCTCAGACCCATACCCATTCCATGACCTGAGCGTTCAAGGCAGGGATGCACACCTGGACACCGGCCGGCTTCATTACTCCCCTTGCAAGAGGCCAACATAGTGTGCTGGCATTTGCTTCAGGGCCTCTCCCACTCATGGGATCCGCTATCCTCATGTCTTTCCTCCCGCTCATGGGATCCACTTTCCTCATGTCTTCCGTTTTTGAAAAATAGTTTGCAGCAGTGGTTTCCTTCTTCAAGCCCGTGCTACCAGGCAGTTCTGAGTTTCTAGCATGCTTCTTCTTTTCTTGCCTGGTTCTGGATTTTTATTAAAACCTTTTTATTATTTCTAAGGACCTGGGACAGGAAGGGGAGGTTGCAGCATGTGCTCAGTGTGCCATCTTAGTGTGGAAATGCCAGAGGACTATTAGGGAATATAAGAACAGAGCTTGGCAGAATACTAGGGAAATCACCACCCTTTCCCCCATCCTTCCTAACTCCTTCACACTTAGAACTGGCCAATCGCCATATCACATGGGGGCATGAAGTAGCAAAGAGAGCAGACAAACAGAGCCTTATGAGCTGCCGGAAAGAAGGAGACTCAGATGGAGAAGGCAGACTTGTTCTCAGGGGATAGGGGAGGAGAACAGAAGGGAAGGCACTATCACCTCCCCTTACCCTTGTGACAGTCCAGAGTTGATCTTTTTTTTCCCATTCACTTATTCTTTCCTTCATTTACCTAATAGATACACACTATGGACTTTCTGTGTCCTAGTGCCCATGCTAGGGTATTGAAAGCACAAAGTAAGAAATACATACTCATACACAGAGTATGTGCCCTCAAGGAGTTCACCATTGTTGTGTGCAGAAGAGAGACACTAGTAGAAAATTCTAGTGTGGCATAGATACAACAGAAGTGGTAGATGCAGTACAAGCAATAGCCAGATCTCAGAAGAGGAACTGAAGGACTCAGCCTTCAGGGGCTGAGGGCAGGGTCACGGAAGAATTCAGTTTTCATCTGATCTTAAAAGAATAGGTAAGATCTTACCAGCAAGACAAGAACAGAGGAGGAAAAATAGAGAAAATCGTGGTACTTTGGAAGACAGCAGAGTGTGAAAGTCTGCATAGATAGGTAGAGTCGCATTTTGTACACCTTGTGAAAGAGTCTATGCTTTATTTTGTGGACAGGAAGTATCTTAAGCAGGGAAGGGCATGACCTCATTTGTGTTTTGTAGAAGTCTTATGGACTGTAGCTATAAAAGACTGGAGATTGAGACTATGTTCTAGACCAGAAAAGATAAGAACCTCACCAAGACAGTAACCATGAGGCCAAGGAGATCTGGGGAGGCATTTGTTATCAGTTGGTTGCATTGGGGCGCATGGGTGTCTCAGTTGTTAAGCGTCTGCCTTTGGCTCAGGTTATGGTCCCAGGATCCTAGGATCGACCCCCGCATCAGGCTTCCTGCTTGGTGGGAGGCCTGCTTCTCCCTCTCCGACTCCCTCTGCTTGTGTTCCCTCTCTCACTGTCTCTCTCTCTCTGCCAAATAAATTTTAAAAATCTTAAAAAAAAAAAAAATCGGTTGTGTTGGGTGGCATTGTTGGATGGCAGGAATATAGCAGAACTAAATTCTATTCCTAAAAAAGCAATGTAGGGATGAATAAGAGGATGCAGTCTTTTAGGACTCTGCTTTTTAACATTTTTCAAAGAGGTGGTTTTTATAAATTTGAAAGAACTTTATGATCACTGTTGTAAGACATTCTCCTTAAAAAGAGACAATCTGACATTCTGGCAATGTATTTCAGTGCTCCAGACATTCATTATCATGTAGCGTTGCTGCCAACAGGAGGACTTAACTTTTCTTTTAGTTCATTTCGTAACTCCTATTAGCAAAAAATTTGTGTAGGTTAATACAGAATAAATATGTGTTATTAAGTAACACTAAACACAAGAAATCTCTGGTTTTTAGTGCTTGACTACAATTGTTTTTCAAGAGGTACTCAAAGTTTGAGGAAAGTCCAGATTTCTTATTTTTAGCATCTTTTCTGGTGAATTCTCCTCTCTTATGTTTGCACAGTGATGGTAGAACCATCTGGAAATGATAGAAATAGCTGTTTGTTGGGGGGCAGGAGAGAAGGCAGCAGAGTTATGCTCTGTACATTGCTTTAGTTTCTCCAGTTTAATAGCTTGCTCTCTATAAATCGTAGTAGTCACATGAAAGGTTGTGCTCTGAAACCTTTGCCTGTACATTTGAAATATGAAGTTCATGGACTTTGACTTGAATGTAGCTATTTCTTCCAGCTGCCCTTCTGGAAAATGCTTAAATGTTAATGTAGCATTGAGGGAAAGATTTTTTTTTTCTTTGATATCATCTTTACATTTCAGAGCCTCCTGGCTTAAGAATATCCATGAGAGCAAATGTTTCTAGTAATCAGTCAGTATTTCCTGAGAAAGAGTGGAAGATTCTTGCACTCTCTTGAAACCCATAAAACTCTTGAACTAAAAAATATTTTTCGGAAAAAAAAATAATATTTGTCGGGGCTATAACTAACCTCTTACATGGAAGAGGTACTTGGCAGGCTGGAGGGGACGGGGGGTTCCATGGTGTAGCAATGAAAGAAATTAGAGAATGAAACGGCCTGACTAGCTGTGTGACTTCAACAAGTCCTTTCTGAAAGAACTTCAGTTTCAAAAGCTTAAGGGTTGTGCCTCATTGTCCCCCAGAATCACACTTAAGATTCTGGATTCAGATTCTTTATAAAGCCTGTCTGTTTGGAAATAGAGCATCTGACTAATCTGACTCATTAGCCATTCTGTCCAGGACAGACTGTGTGTTTAGGAGGTCAGTTCATTGTGAAGTCCTGAGGGTATTTCCCTTGGGGCATTTACAAGGTAATGGAAGCATCAGGATTACTTTATCTACAAATGTCTAAATAATTTTCATAATTTGCTGTATCCTTCTGCTGCCACCCACTGTGCAAACTGATAACACATGTAGGAAAGGTCACCTTTGTTTTTTGTTTTTGTTTTTTAAATTTATTTGTCAAAGAGAGAGAGGGAACACAAGCAGGGGGAGCAGCAGGCAGAAAGAGAAGCAGGCTCCCTGGTGAGCAAGGAACCCGATGTGGGACTGGATGCCAGGACCCTGGGATCATGACCTGAGCCGAAGGCAGACTCTTAACCAACTGAGCCACCTAGGCGTCCCAGGAAAGGTCATCTTTGAACAGTCCTTCGTCAGATGGTATGGCAGGTGCTAGAAGTCATTGGTTGACCTTCCTTTCTGAGGAACATAGTGACTCCTTTTTTTCTAAGTACGATCAACCCTGAGTTGTCAGCATCTAAGTGGACTGGACTTACTTGGATACCGGGAGGAATTTTCATTTATTCTCTTCTCTGTTAGTTGTAGATAGGTTTCTTAACCATTCTTACAAAAATCAGGATAGCTCAACTCTTCTGCTACCAGCGTCTCAGCTGGTCCCATCTGTTTACCATAGGAACTTCCTTTTCCTTATTAGCAGAGGGAGGAGTGTGGCCGAAGATGTGTTCTTTTAGTGTTGACTTCTTTCTAAGATCCTGTTGAGGCAACTGATGGTAAAGACTGCTGTTCATGTCTCACCCTGAAAATGCATGGAGGCCTGGTTGGGGTTTATGGATGTCGTCACTAACATCAGTAAGGGGGACATGGTTGCTCTTTCATCCAAGTCATCGATGGACACTTGGAAAACTATGCTTGGAAATACTACGTTCCATGGAAACGTCTATGTTCCGAAGCCCACTCTTCTGCTCCTGCATTAGCCATAGGTCCCACTTGCAGTCACCAGCGCAGGGGTCTGCTGTTGCCAGCTCGCCGTGAAGGTGGGTGCAGAGGCATAAGCGGTCCCCCTGAGGACAGTGAGAGGCATCCGGTCCAGGCCTGCATCCCCACCCTCTTACTTCACAAATCTTCTTAGTTGTGGCCCAGGTAAGGGAAATGACTTATTCACATGTGGCTCGCTGGTGGCAGAGCTAAGTCTAGACTGTCTCAAGACGTGACTTTGGAAATGGACTGAAGAAGATGACAGGGGAATCTGCCAGTCATACTCTTGTACTTCCCCCGTCTTCTGCACTCTGGAAGTACCCAGCCTTACCATAGGCTCTGGTTGTTTTTTCAGGCACCCCAGCTTTTGCTGGGTGGAGTTGGGGTGAGGGGGGAGGGTGTAAAGGGCAGAGGAACCTTCATAGCACTGAGGTGCTCAGGAGCCATGAGAGTATGACCAGGAATGTCCCTGACAGGGGGGGTGGGTAGAACTTCCCCTCCAGGAACTGTCCCTGTGGCTTGGGAGGAGCTGGTGCTCTCGCTTTGTGGTGCCAAGGGGCAAGCAGGAGCAGAGGGGCCAGAGGCTCTGGAAGTTCTGTCTTGTGATCTGGCCCAGGGGAGGCTGTCTGCCTGGCACATTATGTGGAGTCACAAGACCTCTGAGGTAGTTTTACAAAAGCATGTTCTCTGCTCTCCTGTCAGAGCTCACACTCAGGGCATACTTCCCACTGTGCATTCGGCATTTTGAAGTGGCTGGCCCTGCTTATGATCTGGGGGCCGCTCCGGTAACAGCCGTATCTCTGTCACTGAGTGACTAAAGAGGCTGCAAAGCCACCTGTAAGAGTGGTTTTAAAAGTTTTGAAGATGGTGAAAAAACCCTGAAAAGTACCTGAAGTAAAGCATAATTATTACGCTGCCACAGAAAAAAACCAGATTGTTTGGGGTCCTGCCTGTCCCCTCATTTAACAAAAAGATTTCTCAGTTGGTTGCCAGCCACTGCTGAATAGCCCAAGAAACTGTGGTTTTGAGCTATTCGCTATTTCTAGAAACTTCAAAAGTTAATTCCAAAGTAACAGGGTGGAGACCAAAAAAGGAAGAACACGATTTTATGGCCCTTCTAGCAGGGGTAAAATATTTGCCTCAGGCTCGGGGCAGTGAGCTCTGTGAGAATGGCTGGCGGGAGGCATCCAGCTCCCTGGCCAGGGGAGGACGTGATCATTGCAGGTGGTGCTGACACGCACAGTTCCTTTCTCATGCCAGCTGCTTCTCCTCTCTCCTCTCATTTCAGCCGACAAGTGTTTTTTGAGCTCCTGGTAGACACGCAAATGACAGGTTAGGTACTGACCTTTCCTATTGAGCTCATTTTTGTTGTCAGCCAGGCTTCTGAGTGAACTTCAGCCTTCATTCAGTGGCCTTCACTCCCAAGTAACAGCTCATTTTGTCTTTCGAATGTTCTTCTTTTTACTTTAGAAAACATTCCTTTTGCTCATTTATTGTTGTTTTAAGATTTTATTTATTTATTTATTTATTTGAGCGAGGGAGCACACAAGAGCAGGAGGGAGAGGGAGAGAGAACCAACCAGGGCTTGATCCCACCACCACAAGATCATGACCTGAGCCAAAACTGAGTTGGAGGCTTAACTGATTAAGCCACCCAGGCGCCCCTTCTTTTGTTCATTTGTTAAAACTTAGGATTTTGATGTTGACTTACGGGTTGAAAAAGCAGCATCTCTGAGGCAGGTTGGAGTCCTCCTGCGTTCTGGACTCCAAGGAGCAGGGACGCAGCCCTAGCAGTTATCCAACATGGATTTCTATTGGATTGGGGGTTCTTATGTAGCATTTTCTCACGGCGTGACTACCCCCTGATGACACCTTAGAAAGATAAACATATACTCCCTTACACCAGGTGAGGGTTAACCTACAAAAACTTTGGGATATAGAAAATCCATCATGGGAGTAAATCAGATGCCTGGGTCCTGGTCATAAAACCGCTACTAACTAGTGCGTGACCTCTCTTCTCTAGCCACCACCCAATCTGAGCCCAGTCGATCTTTGCATACTTACTTATGGATATATGAAAATGACACCAGGCAATGACATGTTCTCTTTTCCCTGCAGAGTGAAGGCTGCCCAGACTGAGTTAGGACAGCAAATCCTGGCTGATTTTGAAGAAGCATTTCCTTCCCAGGGCACCAAGGTATTATTTTCCATCCAGCCTTAGAAGTTATCACCATTCTTGCCTAATTCACATTCTCTGCCGTGACTCTTCCTTTACCATTCCAAAAGTGCCTGCTGGCAGTCATGAGTCTGTCTGCTAGAGGTTTGGGGTGATGAGACCATCCTTGATTTTAAATATCCCAAAGCAATGTTGGTTCTTCATCTGTGGCCTTTCAGCATCAAAGAGCGAGGATTTATTTTGGTTTAATTTAATATGTGTCAAGCCTAGTATCTCATCTGCCCAGCAAATTCCTTTTTTCTCATGCCTGTGTTAAAAAAATTTTTTTTTTTCAAGCCGCAGTGTTTTTTAGAATCGTTACATAACTTATTGGTTTCAGTTTGGTGAAGAGACAGCTGGGAGGAGCATCCACAGGCTTATGTAACTCTCAGAGAGACACAGGAGACTCACTTTTAATGATCAGAAGCCTGTTCTTTGGGATTAATCCCTTTAACTCTCACTAGTGGCATGGCTGTTTGTGTTGTGTCTGCGAAGGCCCTGGTATTTTGCTTGTGGGCTATGGTTACACTTCTTCCATAAGCTTTGCCTCACTTGGCTGTCACTGTGCCTGGGTAACTGCTTTTAGCTCTATCTTTCAAATTGTAGCAGATGTAATCTTAATGCTTTGCATGTGTTGGGGAGAGAAGAACCTTTAGAAGCTTTTTTTCTCTATTATTTGAGCTATTTCAAGAGAAAGAATTATTCAACACAGAAATGAACTAGAGCACACACAGGCAAGCAGCGTTCCTCACTGCACTTGGCGAGTGGAGGTGGGGGTATATGTTCATTTACTAAGCCAAGGGACATTTCCTGGACCTGCTTTATAATTCAATAACTGGAAATATCTTGATCATTTTTCTTTGTGCTCCATGAAAGAAACTTAGGAAGTAGGTGGGGGTAGCTGCCCCGGCTTTGTAGATTACTTCCTATAGGAAACCTGCTCTGGATTTTAATGTCTGTATAGGTTAATGGCTGCCTTCTAGTAATCAGTTATTTTATTTGTAAAACATGTTCCTCTCAGGACTTTATATTCTTTATTCATTTGCTACAGCTGTGGGGAGTGGATGTTGGAAAGCCATTCTGTAAAAAGGGATTGCAGGACATTCACAAATTATAAACTGTTCTTAGCCCAGAGTCTGCTTTACTATACTCTGGTATCTAGCCCAGTTTCTTGGAGCTTCAGAAAGATATGAATGAAACCTAGCTTTATGGTTTAGAAGAAACTAGTCATGACCTACTTTATGTCTTTTTCTCAGATCCCACCAGGCAGATGAAGTTAAAATGGTTTTCTTTAACAACTTGCTTACTTTTTCTGTGGCTGGGTAACTTAATTTTTTTTTTTTTTTTAAGTTTTCTATTCTCCTTTTCAGTGACTGGTCTTTTTTTAAAGGCCTTGTGTTGCTATTCCTATTTCACAAATAAAATTTGTGTAAGGTAAAAATTGTACAAGGTAACCTACTAAGCCCTTTTTAAATGAAGATATGTGAATCCATGAGCCCATAGGTTTCGGCTTCTGTGACTTCTCTATCAGATCAAACACTTTCATCCAGAAGCAAGAGGTGGGCAGTCAGAGCACTCAGCAGATGGCATAACAACCATTCAGCACAGAGTGAGTCAGCATCCTAACAGTTTAGCTCTCAGGCAGCTTAGTAACACTTAACAAAACTCTTGAACTTCAGTCGAGACAGACACATTATTGGACAGAGTTTACCCAAAGAGTCATAAAGATTTGAAAGAACGTTAATCATCACCTAATTGAAGTCCTTTTTTTTTTTTTCCATTTATTTTTCAGATGAGTTTCAGTAATTGCGCCAAAGCCACACAGCTATCTAGTCAAGCCAAGAGTAGATTCCAGGTGTTCTTCTTGTTCTAGTCCACCCCGCCAACCATGTTCATTCAGTGAGTTACTATAAAGAAAAGTTGGCTAGATTGCATTGCCTTCAGTAATAATAAAGGCCTTCCCATCGTGATGTATCAGTGTGGCCCCTCAGAAGGCAGTAGCCTTCTAATGCCTTTCAGATCAAGGGACCAGTATACTAATATTTTACTTCTGGCTACCTGCCTCGGTTGTTGACAGCCAAACAAGTCTGGCACTTTGGAACCTGGTTTTATTTATTTTTTTTTTTTTAATATTTTATTTATTTATTTGACACAGAGAGAGATCACAAGTTTGCAGTGAGGCAGGCAGAGAGAGAGGGGGAAGAAGGCTCCCTGCTGAGCAGAGAGCCCGACACGGGGCTCGATCCCAGGACCCTGAGATCCCGACCCGAGCCGAAGGCAGAGGCTTAACCCACTGAGTCACCCAGGTGCCCCAGGAACCTGGTTTTAGATTTTAAATGCCACTGCACTGTTTGGCACAAATATGGCACTTTAAGAATAGGAATCGGAGTTTGGAATCAGGGGAAAGTGGCATGTGGGGAGTAAGAGTGGTGTCCTTCTGAGACGTTTGGCTCTTCACCAAAGCGATTTCAGTTTTTGTATTCAGAAAACAGAATTTCCTATGACCGTTGCTGGCCCTGTTTCCACAGTGTCTCCTTGCTGATTCACAGAGTAGCTTTTATATTGGCTACTACATACTAGCTTAATCATTCTTTCATTGAGTAGCAAGTAACTAAAATATCCATCTACAGCAAAAGAGTGTCAGGGGAATGGAAGTAATAATAACTTCAAGAGAGGAACAAGAAGTAGCAGCTGTCAGAGGCCAGGAGATTGAAAGGTGGTTTCTGGCTCTTGAACTGCTGTGTTGTTTGTTTTCCCAGAGGCCAGGAGGACCCAGCAATGTCCTACGGGATGCATGTCTGGTTGCTAATATTTTGGATCCTAGAATCAAACAAGAAATCATCAAAAAGTTTATTAAACAGCATCTGTCAGAATATCTAGTACTTTTTCAAGAAAACCAAGATGTAAGTATTAACCAAATGAAATTGATGTTACATTTGAATTTTATTGAAAATTAAATACCCTTGAGTCTACTGATTCATATTTTAATAGTATTACTGCCTTAAAATGTTGATGTTGAACTGTGAATTTTAGGGGCTGACTGTACAGTTCAGTGGTTCTTAACCATTTTGAGGTCATTGACCCTTTGAAGAAGTTAATGGGAGCTACAGATCCTCTCTCCAGAAAAATGTACCTATGCATAAAACTTCGCATACCGCTTCAGGAAATTTCCAGATCCCTGAAATATAATCATAGAGCCAAGTTAAGAACCTCTGGATCAAGTGAAAAAGTAGCCTAGCTTCTTTAAAACTGTGAGAAATAGGGGTGCCTGGGTGAGTGTCAAGTGCTGGTTGAGTGTCGGACTCTTGATTTTGGCTCAGGTTCTGATCTCAGCGTTGTGAGATCAAGCCCTGCATTGAGTTCCGCGCTGGGCATAGAGCCTGCTTGGGATTCTCGGTGTCCCTCTCTAAAAAATAAAGTAAAATAAAATTAAGCAAAATAAAACAAAACTGTGAGAAATAAAGAGATTGGTTGTGTTTTTCTTGGTTCTGTGTTTTTGTTTATTTCCTGAAACTGTCAACACTACTTCTGAGCACTGCGTGGATTTTGTTTCCTACCTTCCTAAGGTTGCCTGGCTGGACAAAATCGACAGACGCTATGCCTGGATAAAACGCCAGCTTGTGGACTATGAGGAGAAATATGGCCGTATGTTTCCACATGAGTGGTACATGACCGAGAGGATTGCAGTAGAATTTTGCCATGTCACAAGGTAGATTCCAGCTCTGCTGGTTTTACTGTTCATTGAAATTGGTTGGTTGAAATCAATCCCCTGGTGTCTGGGGGTTCCATCTTGTCTTGTGAATTGGGTAGCATTTCCACCTTTTTGTTGTTGTTATTGGAGAGTCATCATTGTAATGAGAATGTCTTCACCTGTGCTGGACTCTCTCCCTTTAGACAACCCTTTTTCTGTTGAAAGTCAGATTTTATAAATCCAAAATCAACCCCTGAACTCCAGCTGCAGCTATATTCCAACTTCTCCAACTTCAGAGTTCCAAACCTAGAGGAGAGGGCTTGTATGTGGAGTAAGAGTAAAAACTTCTAGGAAAAAAGTAATAAAGGGTACACGAGAGTCCTGGGCTGGTAGCCTATAGTCAAAGCCCCTTCCCCTCTTCCCCGACTTAAGAGTAATATGTATAAAACACAGCAGCTTCATCTGCTCCTGTCTTTGCTCTAAAACTTTCCTGTAGCCTGACCCTTGCCTTGAACAGCCTGCCTTCTGGACTTAACCTACGCAAGGCTCATCCACCAGATTTTCCTCTGTTACTCATCACCCTACATTTTCTCCTGTGTCTCTATCATATATATCAGTGTACAGTGTATATATCCATGCTTCTCTGACTTGCTCCTACATCCATCGTTCCATAGGGACAGGGACACATACTTCAGTGACACTCAGGAAATATTTCCCGAACAAACTTCCTGCCCCTAATGCAGTGTTTTTATAGTCTGGATAGTTAATAATATCGGCATCTGAATGTTCTAAGCATCCTAAAGACCTTCTGTCATTCATCCTGTCTCTGCAGTTTCATGAACAAAGCCCAGGGCCAGGGAGTCCATTTATATTGAAGAGCTAAAACCCAAGAAGTTTAGATTGGTGTGTCCATGACAAAGCTAAAGCTAGAGTCAATTTTTTTTAATTCTTTACTTGCTGCTTGACCGCTGCAGTGGTAGTAACTGTGTCTTATTAGTTATCTATGCCTTTCTTTTTTTTTTTTAAGATTTTATTTTTAAATTTATCAATGAGAGAGAGAGTATAAACAGGGGGAGGGGCAGAGGGAGAGTCAGACAGGCAGACTCCCCGCTGAGCAGGAAGCCTGACATGGGGCTTGATCCCAAGACCCTGAGATCATGACCTAAGACAAAGTCAAATGCTTAACTGACTGAGCCACCCAGGCGCCCCAGTTATCTATGCCCTTCTCACAGTGCACAGTTACATTAACTCCAGGCTAACTTTTTTTTTAAAGCCCCATGTGTGAGCATAACTCAGCCACCTTAGAACAATTCATGGTAGGTATTTTTCTTAAAATCAGAGAATATAATAAAGTTGTATGCTTTAAACACCTGGGGGGCAGATTTCTTAAGGGTTATTGGCTATTGGCTTTATTATTTTCTTTTAATAGGCATTTTGTTTTCGAGTAATTTTAGGAACACAGCAAAATTAAGAGGGAGATACAAAGGTGTCCCATATACTCCTGCCCCCACACGTGCATAGCCCCCCTCTATCAACATCCCCCACCAAAATTTACATTTGTCAAAATTGATAAACCTGCAGGGACAGACCATTATCACCCAGAGCCCACAGTGTGCATTTGAGTTCACTCCTGATGTGCATTCTGTGTGGCTGTTGTTTTCAGAAGCATATTTGCTACCATAGGTTTAGATAACCTTTAAATGTTGATTCAAGGACAATTGTGGTTGTCGCTTTCAAAGTCCCGATTAGCAAAGAAGGCACATTCCTTGAGAAATTGATAACTAATTCTCTTGAGGCTACAGTTCAGTGACTTGCAAACTAATTCTGCAAAGAAAGCAGTCTGCGGGAGGCAGGGAGTCAGCCACAAATCTGCCATTGAAGTGGCAGCTAATGGCCATGTTGCTCCTGTTGCTGCCAAGCCTTCATTGTTGGAATTTTGGCTAAAATCCTACAGATACATAATTTTCAAAGACTTGCAGAGGCTCTTTGTTTGGTTTTGCAGTTTCTTTGTATGGGAAGATAACCATGGCTCAGTACTGTGGCTCAGTACTTCCTAAGAGCTCCCAGGTCACTGCTCCCCCACAGCTCCCACTCTGAAGCAGAACACTGGAGTGGCACGCAAGCTTCGCAGGCAGGACCCGCCTGAGCACGTGCACGTCACTTCTCACGTGGGGACTGTAGCCTCGCACTTGTAGTTCCGGGGTTCCTGCTCTCTGGGTGAAGAGATGGTGATTGAGCTCTTTGGAAGAGGGGGCTTTGTAATCCAGTAAGGAATGACTTGTGACATCATATAAAATATATACATGTCAAATTATGCATATATAAATACATCATACATCAAATATATGCATGTAAAATTCTGAGTAAGTGCTTTATATTTACATTATTAACAAATTACAGAAAGGTTGAAAGATCTAAAAATAGTAGTGACCATATAAACAAATCGATCTCCTTAATCCTTGATTTCTTTTGACTAGTGGGCCATTTCACCTTCAAATTCTTATTTAGAGTATGTATTTCTATTCTCTGAACATTCAGCTTAGTAATAGACCTCAGGATTTAAAATGGCCACATTTTTGGGGGGCGGATATAAGCTAAAATCATTTTTTGGGGGGAATATAAGCTAAAACCATTTATCCTATCTTGAACAGTTTTTGGGGTTTTTTTTTAACATCATTCTTATCTCTTTATTTTGAAGGACAGAACTTGCCAAGATTATGCGCACCAGAGCTAAGGAAATTGAAGTGAAATTGCTTCTGTTTGCTATTCAGAGAACGACTAACTTTGAGGGTTTTCTTGCCAAACGCTTCTCCGGGTGCACCCTGACAGATGGAACTCTGGTAGGACCTTCCCGAGGGAAGCTGGAACAGGAAATCAGGGGGTCGGGGGGTGGAGCTTCCCTTCAGTCTTTACCAGTTTGGTGGTTCCTTCCAGTGGCTCTACTGCTCAGTCCCTCATTCCGGGGATTTCACTAAATTATGCAAATGGGGACACAGAGTATTGCACATTTTTAGATCATTTTATTTAAGTAGTGGCCACATGTAGCCTCACTTATTTAGTCACAAATACTGTATTACTTTATCAGCTGTTGATTTGTATCACATGGAGGGTATGTTTTACCTTAGAATTTGTTTTCTTAATGTCTTTGGGCAGCAAACCAGGTCATTGTGTCTCTGTAAACCTGAAAGCCAAGTATACAAATTTGCATGTCAGAGAAACACAAAAGATTAAAACAGAAAGGTACATAGGTCTGAGGACTGGGCTCCTCTCTTGGAAAGATGGAGTGTGTGTTGTTAGTTAATATCATTTAATGTGTATGTAAGCAAAGACCAGGTTCAAAGCATCTCTCTAAAAACTTCTTTTTGGAAACCCAGCCTCCTTGCTAACACATCAATATGCTTTCTTCAGATTTCCTATCCACGAGGAAACCAAATTTTTATGTTTTATAGTAAATTCTGTTTGCATCATTACACACGGGTGTGCACACACACGGACTTTGAGCTCCTCGAATGCAGGAATCATGGTTGATTCATCTCTGTTCCCAAGTCATGCAAAAAATACACACACCTTGTGCAGGCCAGCAGGAATGAGGAGAGAAGGAAAACAGGAGCTAAGGAGGAAGAAATCCAAGTCAAGAGAGTCAGACCTCTTAAGTTTCTTTAAAAGTGGTAATGGAGAAGTGATATGATTTGGTAGGAAAATCCTTGGACCAACACACCAAGAGACACTTGTGATCCAATCTAGACCCTGCTATAATTCAGTGAACTGCCTTCTAGAAGAAACTAGCCTTGAATAACAGAGTACTAAGGGAGATAAACAAGACATCAAACCCAGAAGCCATAACGAAAATTAGCTGAAAGATTTCACAAAATATAAAAAGAATGAAAGAGACCATTAATGTAATTAAGGGATAACAAACTAGGAAACGATAGTTTAAGCTCTAAGACCAAGAATTTATATCCAAAGTAAAAAATTCTTTAAAATCAATAAGAAAAAGGCAAGTAACCAACTAGAAAAATGAATACAGAGTCTAGCAGGAAATTCACTGAAGAAATACAGTTGGCCAGTAAACATGAAGAAAATAGAACAGGATACTCATTTTCTTATATCAGGTTGGCAAAAAAGTTACAAGACTAACAATACAGACGTAGTGCTAGGAGACAAATTGGTGCAGTCTTTAGCTACTTGTCTTTATGTATCAAAAATTAACATGTGCATGCTCTTTGAGGCAACAGTTTTACATCTAGATATGAGGTCTACAGAAAAATCCATACATGGAGAGGATGATGTACTAAGAAAGAGGGGGAACTGCAGCCTTCAAAGCAAAAAAAAGAAAAAAAAGGTTTCTATAATGTTTATCACTGAAGAATAGTTAAATAAAATATGGTATATCCGTACTGTGGAATAGTGGTAGAATGTGGGATCTATCTAGATGTACTGTCATAGAAAAGAAATCTCTCAGGGCACCTGGGTGGCTCAGTCAGTTAATCATTTGCCTTTGGCTCAGGTTGTGATCCTGGGGTCCTGGAATCAAGCCCCATGTCAGGCTCCTTGCTCAGCAGGGAGCTTGCTTCTCCCTCTGCCTCTCCCCCTGCCTCTCCCCCTGCCTGTGTTCACATACTCTCTGACACATAAATAAAAATAAATAATAAAACAAATAAATAAATAATAAATTAAAATTAAAAATAAAATCTTAAAAAAAAAGAAACCTCTCAGATACATTGTCAAATGGAAAATGGAAGCTGCAGCTAGTATATATGGTGTAATTCCACATGTAAAAACCAAAAAGCATCTTTATGAATGTAAATGTGTAAGAAAAAGGTATAGAAATGATAACAATGGATGTTCGGGGGAAGGAAGTTGGAGTGAGAGTACATGGAGAAGCAGAGAATTATTTTTTTCATTTTATTCTGGTATTTTGTTTGAAAATTTTTTACACACCTGCATTTCCATCGTTTTTTAAAAATACTTTTTTGTTTTTATATGCTTTAATTAAGTCATTTTTCAGTTTTTTTTAAATGAGGGAGATGAGCCAAAACAGGGACTCCCAAACTGTTTAACAAATTCTAATGTGGAATCCACATGGAATAACAGCTAACATTTTTGAACATCCTCTGTGTGTTCCACACTGTGCTAGGTACGTTTGTCTGTGGTCAGTCGCTGGGCTTCATCAGCTTAGGAGGGAAGTGCTATATTCATTTCAGATTTACCAGTGGTCACACAACCACTGTAAGTGCAGAAAAACAGCTACTCTGGTTGAAGCAGGGAAGTCAGAACAGAGATTAGGCCTGGAGTCCTGTTCGCTTGTTCACCCTTCACCTCTACTACCTTCCTGAGCCCCTACGCTCTTAGTCCTAAAATCTTGGGACGTCAGTGGCATCCCCTCTTTGCCTTCTTGTAAGACCTGCCTCAGAGTAGGTGTATTGGGAGCTGGTCCCTCAGGACACTGGGCTGAAGAGTGGTGGCAGTGGCACTCAGTTTTAAGGTAAGACCAGAAGACCCTACCTATTTAGGGCCAGTCATGACAGTATTGAAATAAAATACAAGGAACCACAGAGCATTCTTTCTATACTGAAAAAATAAAAATACATATGTATATTCCTCTGCTTGTTTCTGCATGTTCAAAATTGGTTTCTTTTTAGTAACAAGGGAAAAAAATAGGCCATTAAACAAATGAAAATGCCCCTAAATAAGATGTAAGTCACAAAAGGAAATAATAGGTAGTGGAAATGCGATTGGAAGAAGAATGTGTCTCTCTCCTGAGAAGTATTCGGTTGACTTCAGCAGCGCCTGATAACCTCATGTTGGCCCTCCCCTCTGTGCTACCTGCGCCGTGTTTCTGGCCTGGTTTCATACAGAGACTCATGCAGCTCTGGGCTCAGCCCTACAGCTGAAGGACTGAGCATAGACCCCCACCAGGCAGCGACCCACTGTGTGCCCATGGCTTCTGCTGGACAGAGTCAGGGTAGCCTAAGGACAGGTTCTCTGAGCCAGTATTCCAGCAACCGTATGGGAAATAGATCCCGATGCAGGCTGCTTGAGTAACACTAGGCCAAACACCTGTTTTGAACCCTTTGTCTCTTTTGGCTTCGCCTTACTCACTGCTGATTTTGCTTTTACATTTAGGGAGCTGTAGGATTGCAGGGGAACAAATGGCCCTGTTCTATCTGATGACCAGGATAGCCCGTAAACCTGGAGCTGTCCCAGGACACATCACATCTCATTTGTGCTAGGAGATGCCTCACGGGCCCAAAGAGGTAGAGTAATGTGGCTCAGGAAGGCTCCCTCTGGACAAGGCGAGCCTGTTAAATGGGATAACAGATACAGACCATGAGAAACGGGAAGGAGCTGTTTTGAAGACAACACTTTTTGTTTTGTTTTGTTTTGTTTTGTTTTGTTTTGTTTTGTTTTTTAGAAAATAACTATGAATGTCAGAGTGGCAGCTGGCCCACAGTCAGTACCTTTTGTCTGAGGGAGAAGAGGGCTTGGAGGGGCTTGTTTCTTGGGGCTGTGTGGCCTCTCTGTACTCAGGCTCACTCTGCAGGGCCAGTCTTCTGGACTGAGCCTTCCATCTCCTGGCAGATGCTGTGCTCCAGGGGGTCTGGTCATGGTCAGCTGGGAACACTTAAACCTTTTGGCTTTTCTTTTTTATCAATTTACCATTTTTTGCCTTCTGTTTTGGAAATTTTCTGGCAGAATTGATTTATAAATTTCTTCAATCGTTCACTTGTTGCTTCCTCTCCTATCAAGGTTTGTGGAGAGTTCCAGATTATAAATCCTTGGCCAGGGAATCCTGCTAAGCCATAAACTCTTTATTCTTCCCCCTGGTGGTCAGCTATCTTTTCCACAGACTTCTCCAAATCATTCAACTTTTTTTTTAAGATATTATTTATTTATTTGACAGAGAAAGATCACAAGTAGGCAGAGAGGCAGGCAGAGAGAGAGGGGGAAGCAGGCTCCCTGCTGAGCAGAGAGCCCAGATGTGGGCCACAGTTCCAGGACCCTGAGATCATGACCTGAGCTGAAGGCAGAGGCTTAACCCACTGAGCCACCCAGGTGCCCCTAATCATTCAACTTCTTTAGGTCAGACTCTTTCCCCAGACCACTCTTTGTTCTAGTTATCATGGCCCAGCAACCATTTTGCATTCCAAGTCCTGGCATTGGCTGGTCCATAATATCTCTAAGGGTTTTCCCTTGAAGGTTAGTTTCTAGAAAGGCAGCAGAACTCCCACGGCCTCCTCACTGGGGCAAGCCAGGTCGTAGAGAATCCGTTCGCTGCAGCCTGCCTTGGGAATATGAAAATGCCATGCTCCTCACTGTAGGTAATGTTCATTCTGAGCCTGGCCTACCACTGCCATGTTGTGAGCCAGGTGGGGCCACACCTTCATCTGCAGCCTGTAGGCCTCAGGACCAGGGCCTCTGGTGGATTAGTCAGAGCCAGTGACCATGCTACCAACAGTGCTGGGAAGAGGTGGCCTGGGCCAGGCTGGGGGTCCGAGTGGCCTGACTCCACAGTCTAGCTGCTCGGCACCCCACCTGATGACTTGCTGCTCCTTGTCTCCTTACTTCCTTGCTGTGCTGCCTTGGTGTGTGGTTACCATTTTATTTCAGGGCATCAGAATAAACTACAAAATGAACCAAGGTGTATCTTGATACCCTGTAGCATATGCCAAATTTCATAGAGGGCTGTGAATTCCTTGCAAAGTTATGGAACAGATAAGTCAGTCAAGGAGTCATGTTGACCAAAGACCCTCCCAGTCCCACCCACCCCCTTCTCACTGTATTATTCAGTTCCTTTTAAGTCCTTTGCTGACTGATTAACAATTAGGGTGAGCTGAAG